ATTTGTATGTGTAAGTAATTAAGTATTTTTTTAATTTAGAAATACCCATAAATTCTTAATGCGAATGGAACAACTTAACTTGTTTTTAATATCTGTTAAAAATGTGTGTAATATAAACAGTGAAAATTAGCTTTTAGATTAACAATAAAAGTAATTTATTTTTGCGCAAGTTATTAATAATCTTACACTGCCAAATGTGGTCATCGTAAGTGGAAATATTTTTCCTGCAGTAATACGGAAAGGTTGGCTAGCTCGTATCATTAATAAGATAAGACTCCTTGCTTTTTTTGGTTCTAATTTATACCATTCAAGATTGCATAAAGCATAGTATACTTCTTCGCACTTAATATGAATATATATAAATATTATATATAATATGTATACATACATGTATGTTACTATATATGTTCACACGTGAATATATACAGACTATATATGTCCCAGACCTACAGGATCATCTCTTGTGAGCGAGTAGAGTGAACTAAACTGAATAAAAAGGTTACATATCATTTTGCAATTTTTACGATAGTTAATGAGATATTAATTTCTTAAAGATCACAGAATAAATGTGCGTATCCGTCCAGCCTACCATCAAATGCAAGCGTGCAGTGCGATACGTGACCACCTAGCGCGAGGAGATATTTTCTTGCACTGCTCATGTGCTGCCAAGGTTGATTGGTAAACAACTTCTCGCCTAGCAACTTAAGATAGTGATCAGTCCCATGGTATAAATACAAGGGTATGCTCGATCGGTGGACGAGTTTAGGAGGCCTCTGCGCATCACCTTTGCCTACGTTACATTCGTGCAATTTCGGTTTGAAGCACTTCGGCCGGCTAAAATATGGCTGTCATGACGACTTGAAGTCGTCTGGCTACAATGAGTGTTTGTGCAGTGAAAGGATGCAAAAATAATTACTGAAATAATGCAAAAATAATTACACAAATTTATACTTATTACTCATCGTTCTCATAAAATCCTTTCGCTTATCTTAATGAATTGACGCTACCATGATTTACTTCATTTTTAACCATTTGAATTTGCCGCGTAATGATGACGTAGTCATGACGTAGGCAAGGTGCCAATACTCATTGGTTAGTGGGCGTTACCATGCGCAAGAGCGCCGGTCGAGCATACCTTTGTATTTATACCATGATCAGTCCTATCTCGTCATGCGCTTGTAGTTGGCTGTGCTATTCATCGATTTTTAGAAATTAACTATTAAAAATTGCAAAATGATACAGGACCCTTTTACTTACAATTAATTCAGTTCGTTCTACCCAAAGACAGAGAATGGACTGCGCGATCCGTATCTAAGTAGTGTATCAAGTGTGGTTGACAATAATGAGAGAGAGGGACCGTGGGAGACGGCCAATTTCCCTCTCATTCTCTCTTCCATTACACCATTGAATGAAAAGAGATAGAAATGGCCGTCTGCCATGGTCCCTCTCTCTTATCCCTATCGACCATTTTGACACACGGATCGCGCAGTCCATTCTCTACGTCTTTGGTTCTACCTGCTCACGAGAGGTGATTCTATAGGTCTCGGACACTCTGTATAATGACATATACGTATATGTATACAGGGTGTCTGACATTAGGTGTATTATATCATTGTTCACATAAATCGGTAGGTAGAGAGGAGTTGAAAAGTACTGTATCATTTTGCAATTTTTGCAATAATTATGAAGATATTAATTACTAAAGATCGTCGAATAAACGCGTATCTATTCGGCGTGGTGAGATACGTTCGCCCAACAGTGATGCGAAATTCCAGCCCACTTGCAGTATGGTAAATAGTATGAAGAAGGGCATAGGCAGGCACGCAACGCATGCGCAAGTATATACGGATATGGACTCATCGTAGTGCATGTGCCTTCTTATGCCCTCTTCATACTATTAATGATGCTGCAAGCGGGCTGGAATTTCGCATCTATCTCGTCTAATGTTCGCGGTAGCGGTTTTCTGGTGCGAAGCGCGTCAAGACTGTCAAGAGAGGAGTTGTTTACTACTAGGGTCAGGCGACCGCGAGTGCAATTTGTGCGGACGCATCTCTTCGTACGCTTACACACACGGTGCAAATAGACCGAGCAAATACACGCTTATTCGGTGATCTTTAGTAATTAATATCTCAGTAATTATTGCGAAAATTGCAAAATGATAAAGGACTTTTTGATTTAGTTTAGTCTGCTCTATCCATCTATGAATGGTGATACACCTAATGTCAGACATCTCGTATATGTATAGGGTAACTCCAGTATATACGCCGCATCTATCAAAAACTTAATTTATTAAGTATTATTTACCATGTTTAAAATAAACGAACTGTATCAGTAAAAATTGTGTACTGTCTACTACTATGAAAAAAATATTAGAAATCCGAAATATTTAGTTTTCGTATTAAAAAATAAACTTTTTGAAATTTTGCATTTTTGCTATATAATAGATAATGGGTGGAATATATGGCAAAAATGCAAGGGTTTCAACAAACTAAACAAAGAATACGACAGCAAAGCACTTGTATTTTGCTATACAACATGCTTTACTATTTCTCTACACGTATGTATCACGAAATAACCACTAGGTCTTTTACACGCCTTACAGTAATCGTTTTATGTAGATTATAATTTATGATGATGCTACTTGTTACACACACTGCAGTGACAAATCGATTCACACACAACTCACAATAATTTCATTAATATTAACAGTAAGAAGTTGAAATTATAACTCAATATTAATATAACACAAAGGCATGTAACGGAGTAGTTGCGAGAAAATTACCCCTACACCTTCTATTTTTTCTAACTTTCGCGACGTAAATCCCAGCGCGGCGTATATACCGGAGTTACCCTATGTATATTTATATCATTGCATTTATAAGCGTACACGCATACTATTGTGTTACAAGACATTTATAAAAATTATTTTGAAAAATTAAATTTATAACTGACTTGCATTGTTACAATCTCTCCGGCACCACAATAAACGAAAGCATGCGAAAACAAGATGGTGATACCCATTAATGGAAAACATAATCGTGCAGCAGAAAAATGACTTCCTTCAGTAATCACCTGAATAACATACCTTTCTAATTAGTAAAAATTAGTTAATAGATATATTAATACATATCATTTAGTATTAACTAATTCTGCACATTTTGAAATAAAAAAAGATATTTAAAAAATAAAAATACGTTAATTTTTTTTAAACTTACAGCAAGTAATAAGAATCCATGAAGACAAAATGAAATGCAAAAATAAAATAATAAGCCTAACGTCATAAAGGTAAAGATATTTTCAATAATGCCGGCAAATCTATAAAAATGTTTTAAAAAATTATCTTATTATATTCTTCCTAATAATACTAAAAAAAAAAAAATAAAATAAAATTATTATATTGCCTTATCAAAAAGAGGAATCTGTTTCATTTTTAGTTATAAAAACGGTTTTTACATACAAATTTTTTTAAAAATAACGATAATTAAGATAAATATACCAAGTAGTAGACGTGATCCAATTATTGAACGAAATGATAAAAGTATTATATTAAATTTTTAATGATATATATATATGTGTGTGTGTATATATATGTACGACTTTAAATAAATTTGTTATTAAATTTTATAAACAATAAATTTATTGAAAATCTTGAAATAATAGTTTTTATTTTAAGAAATAATTATATTCTTTTTAAAATTAATTTTTGTTTAAAAATCGTTTTTGCACATAAAAAACTAAAGGATAGTTCAGAATTTTTGCAAAAATAACTTTTACACTTTCTCTATTAATTATAATAGAAAAGTAGTTAAAAAATATTTATTAGATACTTTAATAAACATATTATTTTATCTTTAATTTTAATATTTTTAAAAATTATTCTTATATTAATAATGATAATAATAAATATAAAATTAGAAATAAAATATAAGAAGAATTTCAAGAAAATGCGAAAAATATTTGTCTTACAATTTGTGATAAAAAGGTAGATGTAATTTTGATATACTTAGTTACTAATTATTTAATTATTATCTTTTTCAGGATGTTTGCAATTAATTTTGAAAATTTTTTTGAAAATAAACGTAAAATGCAAAATATTCTATATTAATTTAATTTTATTATCAATTTATTAAATATTTTTTCTTTATAATTTATCTTGAATTTTACTTGTAATTATATAATTATAATGATAAAAATAATAATGTGTGTACACACAATGTGTACATGCATATACCTGATAAGCCGCATATGATTTGTTATGTTGTGACTCAGATTATAGATAAAATTCTGGCATGAAATTAAATTAGTTACACGGCCTTTAAAGTTTTCTAGTTGACCACTCAAGTGAAGAATAGTGAGTCCGAGAAAAGCATCTACCGAAGTATAAGTTACGGCGGCCAAGAAAATTGTAATAGCTTGAATGATGTATGTTAGTTCAAATTGTGGACTCTTATCTATATCATAAAAATAGTAAGTCTGCAGCGGCAGCGGCTTGTCCGGGTCCGTAAGATTTGTCAAATGCCTCAACGGTAAACCAAAATAAGGAAGAATAATAACCACAATGAACGCCAATACCATTAAAATATATCCGCTGATGATAATCGTTCTAGCAATCTGTGCTCGACTCATCATTACATCCTTTTCCTTTCTTGTCTTCAATTCCATCCAGTCTTCAGCCATCATTTTTATGATGGACATAAGTGCTTTGAAAAATAGCAAAATAATCACTTGTAGAACCATCACGTATCGACTTCCATTTTAAAGCTAAAGCACAAATACTTTTAAATATATTTAATTTGCATATCTTTTGTATATATATATACATAAATAAACTTTCTTGATATTTTTGTGCCACATAGATAATTTCAGCTGTACCTGTTTTTTTCCACCGTAGAACAACAAGTTTTAACGAGACTACCAATAAAGGTAAAGTAATTTGGAGATTATCTATCATAAGTATCATGTCTCCCCAAACTCGTGTAAGGGAGCAGACAAGAGGTATACCAGAAACAAATGTCACTATAACGAAAATAATAATCACACGGAGATCAGAAGAGAAGTTATTCTTAGATTTTTCATCGCTCTTCGGCCATAATCCAAGCAGTTCTAAACCCAAGCGATTTAATTTAATCGCCCATGTAAAATCTAGCAAGATATTGAAATTATATAGGTATATTAAGAGTTTATCAAAATTTATGACATCTTGAAATAAAAAAATCTAAAATCCAAAATTTAAAATATTGGTATAAGATCTGCCCCTGTATTCTGTAACGATCGTTATGCAATCGTTATGTACTCATAACGACTGCATAACGAGTTACAAAATATAGAGGCTCGGCGCTATTTGAAAATTTTCAAAAAACTCTCACCTTTCTTCTAAATAAAAAATACATAAACATTTGATACCTTTATACTGGGAATGTTTGGCAATGTCCATGCCGAAGACTAATGTGAAGACGCACACCTCACTTGTCATACTAGTTCAAACTATGATCATCACGCATGTCCACGATGCGAGTGTAACAACCTGGTTGCAATGCATTAAATATTACAAATGCTACTTCCAGTTGATAACAGCTATTTCGTGTTGTTCCGAAACTTCATGAATACAAAAAAAGTCACAAAAAGTAATGTTCACGCTAATAAGAAGGAAGGTGTATTGTGCTGTGTAAGTGTACGATATCTATTATCGCTAACTCGTCAAACTATACCCTAAAAGTTTTTTTATACTTTGTAATACGACGATCGTGTTCACTTTGTATCTAGAGATGTACATGTGGTGTTGCGTTTGAATATTATATTTTTGCAGAAAGGCCATAGATGTTCAGAAAAACTTCAGACAAAAAGTGCAATGGAAAAAATTCAGTGTCCCATAAGTTATACTGTGAATAATGTGAATAACTATTAAAAAAACATATTTTTTAAATAATATAAGATGAATAAATATACATTATCGTATGTAAAGAATTATAATAGATATTATTGTATTGATGATTTGCTAACACAGAAAAATCTTTGTATAATTTATCCTTTAATAAAATCATAATAATTATTAATAAATGTAAATATATATCTTTTTTTCTAGTGAATTTGCATATCGTATTTTATTATAGACGCGCCGATTTTACACGATTCTATTTATTATTCTAATAATTATAAAATATGTTTTATTATTAATTTGTTTATTATTATTATTATAATAATTATAAAATATGTTTTATTATTAATTTGTTTATTATTAAAAAAAACAATATGTCATAAGTTTAAAGGCATATTTTAAGTTTAAATATTTAATACTAAAAATGTTACAGTCAATATTCACATTATCTGGAGATACGGTAGTGTCTCGGCGCTTAGACATGACGCGAGACACTACTGTACAATTTACACTAAATAACAAATTTATTTTAAAAAGGATACTAAGGTAATTATTTATTAATATTTGTAATTATTTAATTTGATATTATATTATACTAATATTTTCTCATCTTATTTTTCGAATAAGTATCTAATATAGCGCGCGTTTCTCATAATTCAATTTATTTCGTGCTTTGCTAGTAAAAATGATATGTAGCCAGCCGATGTTTTTAATAGCTGAAAAATATTCCTTTATTTAAAAATTCTATAAAATAAAAGGGCATTAAAGTAAAATTTTTAATTTTTTAGAATGTATCAAATACGTCAAGTACATATGTCAAAATAAATCAAGATTTCTTTTTTCAAGAAAGAATTAATTTATAATAGTATTAAAGAGATCCTCTAAAGTTGTCTATTTTATCGATTAAATGCAATAATTTTTGTAGAAGATTTTCATATGCATCATTTTTTTATCTGAACATCCTTTTCAAGAATTAAAATATTTACTATAATGCAGTATGTTTGTATTTCGCTTAACTATAAAGAAATTATAAAATAATTATAGTCTATAGTGGGTCACAGAAAAATTGCGATTCTTTTTTTGGATGAGTTTCGGAATGTAGTCTGCCCACCGCAAAAATTTTTCACTTATGGATCTAACCATTTACGTTTAACCGCTCTACGAGCAAGGTTGAGTTCCGAAACTCATTGAAAAAAATAGTGTTGCAAACTTTCTGACCTACTGTACAGAATAATTCCTGGCATAAAAATGTACAGAGAGAAAGATACTATCTGTTGTATTAATACATTTTAATAATAATAAATACAATTGTTTAAAAAGTCTAAGCCGTGAAATTGTGAGAACTGTATCAATAACAAGTTCTAGTCTTCCCTACATGAAAAAATAACGTCGAATTCTTATAGAATTGAATTTATTGTTAGACGCACCTAATTCGATATGAAAATCCATTACGAAAATTTATGCATATATTGAGCGATGTTGATAGTAGTATGTGTTGATGTTACGTAAATCATATGTGTGTAAGTCTCATTGAATTGGTAAAATAGTGATTCCATCGGAGTTCCATCTTCAAATTAGGGGATCTCCTTAATTAATAATGTCTCAATTTTGTGCGTGCAAAGAGATATATAAGATTTTAAATTATTAATAATCTTACGCTGCAAAATGTGGTCATTGTTAATGGAAATATCTTTCCCGCGGTAATACGAAAAGGTTCATTAGCACGTATCATTAATAAAATAAGATATTTCTTCTTCCTCGGTTCCAATTTATACCACTCAAGATTGCATATAGCACTGTATACTGCTTCGCACTTGACACATATAAACACACATATAAATATATTTTAGTATTCTTTATATTATATTATATTTGATGAAATTAAATATTTAGTATATACTTCATAAATATAAATTAACATTAATTATGGTTTTTAATTAATTTTTTATTTCTGTTTAAAGACAAAAATAAAAACAAAAAAGAAAAAGTATAATCTAATTTTATAATTAAAATTTATAACAATAGCATTTATGAGATGCAAGGAATTAGATGGGTGGAAGTCATTTAACCGATGTTACAACTGACCACAAGCTATACTCATAATGTTCATCCAGTGGAAAAGTCTAGGTATCTATCACTAAGTAGCTGTGGTCAGTCACAACGTGATCAAATCAGACGCTCTCGAATTAGATAGGTCTACATATATGAATATGCACAACATTCTTAAATGTTTATAAAATTACTAAGTTTGTTATAATGCATATATACTCTCTAATAAATTCACATAAATGAAAAAAACATTATATTTAATAGAGTTCTTCGTACTTAATAATATTTCTTGTGAATTTGTAGAATTTTCAGTTCAAGATGTGCGCCGATTATTTATTGCTCTTGAAACATAACCCTAAACCGAAGCTGGAGTAGTAATATCATAAATTAAATTGGTAAGCAATTTAATATTATTACTGCAAAGCATCTTATTAAATAAGCTAGACAGCTGTTAATAATTTGATGCTACAAATATCTTAAAAAATTGTAAGTAATTTATTGCAAAAAATATTATTTCAACTAAATTCGAACCCGGAAGTCTCGCATTCCTTGTAGGCTCCTCTCAATTCGACTGGGCATGTAATAATATTACTCTAAATTATTTGGACTGGAATTTCACTCTAAAGGGTGAGATTTACTCTAAAAGTTTTAGAAAGTATGTATACATATACACAAATGTAAATTTGTTACAATGTAAAATAACATAAAAAATGCTAATTTATAGTTTATTTATTTTAGTAGATAGAAATATTGCAACTTACTTGCTTTGCTATAATTTCCCCTGCACTACAATAGAGAAATGTATGCGCCAATAATGTAAAAATTCCAATCACTAAAAAGTATACTCTTGTAAGAGACATATGACCTATCTCGTTCCCGGTAATCACCTGGATAATATATCTTGCTAATTAATAAAAATTTATTTTTAATTACGTAATTAATTTATATTTTTATACTCTTCTCATTTACACTTACAGTAACAGTTAGAAATCCGAATAGACAAAATACAATACCAAAATAAAATACTAGTCCCAACATCAATAAGGCGAATGTATCTTCAATGTTATTGGCAAACCTATAAATGTAAACACGTTTAGATAGATTATGTGAAATCAAAGATATAGAGTAAGGACTGCGCCGTGTATAAAATTCGTAAACAAAAATGAAAACAATAAGACGTGAAGATGGCCAGTCCCTGGAATTTTAAGCATTAGTTTTTGAAGAGAAATTTTTTCTTAAAAGTATTTAAACATTTTACTATATTATAAAAATTGTTCAAAATAGTTTTTTTACTAACAGCTTGGCATCATAGATTTTAACCTCACATATACATATATTATTACCAACTAAATAAAAAAGATTGGAAGACCTTTAATAATTCTAAAACTAAGTATTTTTCTAATGTTTAATATTTATTACTTGTTTCATTAATTGTTTGATATTATTAAATAATAAAAGTCTCCCTGTTTTAAAAACTAAGCGTTTCTGGACCCATGTTTATATGAGCTTATATTTTAATAACTTATTTTGGGATACATCTCTAGAACATTTAATAATTATTCTTTTACATCTTGTATGTGCGCGTTTAATAATTACGTATATTAATGCCTCAATAAGCAAGTTATTTGTTGTCATTTTGACATTAAAAACGATATTTTGACGTCCAAATGGCGACAAATAACGTCAGTTTGTTTGCTGGGGCGCTATTTAATATTATACTGCCTATTATATTATAGTTATCGATACAATATTGACATTTTCCTATTTTTGTCGTACGTTTTATGTTACCTTTCATTCAATTCTTATCTACAGATTATTTATATTGGTCCTGATTATACATGTATAAAATATGTATATCATATATATTATACATATACCTACATATTATATACAGGGTGGACCATCTGAAGTGATCCAGTCAAATATCTCGAAAACTAGTAGGGATAGAGAAAAATGTTTCATATGAAAAGTTTAGGGTTACACGGGGGAAGTATGGTACTGACCTTGAAAAATCCTTGGAAGGTCATTTTGAAGGTCATTCAGGGGTCACGATGGTTTT